CTGGGGATGCTGCCATAGGTGAGTCCCCAAGGTGCCTTGCCATTATCTCGGGCAGCCGGCGTGACTCTGGTTAGGTGAGGCACCTGGTTCACCTGCTCAGGGTCTTTTCTCAGTCCAGGTGTGTTTACACCTTATTAAACATACCTGGTGTAAACATCAGTAGAGTTACAGAAGCGGTGGGTGGGCAGTGCATTGGCCGAGTTGGGATGTTTTGGTGTTTGCCACATCCTCATTCCTTGCGGAGGGACTGCTGTGTTCATGGGAGGATAGATGAGCAGCTGAATAATGGATTGGTTGCTGGTGAAAAGAGAAACAATGCTTTTTAGTTCTGCGCTGTTTATGAAGCGGAGCTGTTAATGGGAGGAAGGAATATCGAGTGTTTCGGCCCAAAGTGAAATAATCCTCAAATGAGCATAACCTCGTACAATACAGCTTTCATGAGAATTTCCTAAGCATACGACTTCTGATTTCCAAAACACAATTCATTTTTTGATGGGTTTTGTCTGTTTTAGATTTCCTCTGAAGGATTCGAAGCGTCTGATTCAGTGGCTAAAAGCTGTTCAGAGAGACAACTGGACTCCCACCAAATACTCATTTCTTTGCAGCGAGCATTTCACCAAAGACAGTTTTTCTAAGAGATTGGAAGACCAGCACCGTTTACTGAAACCCACTGCTGTCCCTACTATCTTTCACCTTGCCGAGAAGAAGCATGACAACCTGGATTATGTCAGAAGCAGAAGAAAAATAGGAAGCCAGGTGCCACTGCAGGATGGGGAAGACCCAAGGGAAGGAGGCTGTGAGGTAGTTCAGAGGACCTTGTCTTCTGGGCAGGACTTCATGGTGATGCAAGGGACGAAAGAGATGGAGGAGGTGACTTTGCAGGCAGAAATCAGATCGATGTCTGAAGAGGAAGAGAACCTCCACAGCCAGGTGGACAGCCCTCAGAGAAGGACGTTAGGTGATAATCTGGTTTCAAAGCCTGGACCTCAGAAAAAGCCTGAGAGATCTTCTGTGGAGGACTATCCTAAAGCCACCTGGACGGGAGGCTGGGTAGCAGACAGAAGTGGTGTGTCAGTTGATGACTTCACACCTCCTGCCTCTGGTGCTTGCAAGTTCATCGGCTCCCTTCATTCTTACAGCTTTTCCTCTAAGCATGCCAGAGAGAGGCCGTCTTTCCCAAAAGAGCAGCTAGAAAGGAAAAGGCCAAAGAGAGACATGGAACCAAGCTGCAGCAGCCATCTTATGGGACACAAGGCCGTAGTGGAAGGCTCCCCTACTTCGTCCCTCACTGTGACCCCTCAGAAACCTTCCCAGGGTTTGTCGGCATCCCCAGCAGACCTTACCCCTCAGCCAGCTGCTGAGGCGGTGGTGGGACAGAAGGGTGACACAGATGCCAACCCTATGTCAATCAACGAGGTCATCATGTCGGCCTCAGGAGCTTGCAAGCTCATCGACTCCCTCCATTCATACTGTTTCTCCTCCAGGCAGAGCAAAAGTCAGGTGTGCTGCTTGCGTGAACAGGTAGAAAAGAAGAATGGAGAGTTGAAACTTTTGAGGCAAAGGATCAGTCGCTCTGACAGTCAAGTCAGGAAGCTGAAGGAGAAGCTAGATGAGCTGAAGAGGATCAGTTTCCCTTACTTGAACAGCCTGCTATCCCAGGACTGTGGTCAGTATTCCCAGTGGGTTTGCGTTGAGGCAGAATTCACTATATCCTTAGTGATAAGAGACTGTTTAAGTTAGAGATCTTAAAAAGATGATGGGTAAAAGATATGAGAAAGGTATGGTTTTGGAAGGAGAAGTGGTACCTTGTGTTAGATAGAGGTGAAAGAATTATTTTTTTGGCTGCACAAACAATTTCTTATATCCCGAAAGTTTCCGAGGCAAGTCCTTGTGTGGAAGGAGAAGTTAGGTTGTGGTGTTGCAGACAACTCTCTTGATGTTTCCGCCCCACCCCCCCGGATTATTTTAACTTGTTTATGACTCAGTAGTACCTGTTAGGATTTGCCCTCCTTTGGAATCTGCCTGTGAAATTTTTGTGTGTTAATGAGCTGTCATGAGCAGCAGGTGTCTGGGTAAGCTATTCTAGTCTCCAGTGATGTGAGCAGTACTTCTGATCTTAGATTTCATATACTGCATGCACTACCTGGGATATATGAAATATAAGTGAGGTGGTAGGTTTCAAATATGGCAATGTCATGATACACAGTGAGGTCAGTTTTTGTGACCAAGTATCTGTGTTGGATCATTTCCTCCTGTGGAAGGCGGAAGTCAGACAACAGATACCAATTGAAAAAAAATTTAAAATCAAGATGCCTGAAAACGAAGAGGTATTCAGTGATGGACAAGGTCATGTGAAATGTTGCTGCAGAGAAATCAGACCATAACCCTTTCTCGTGTGGGGAAAAAGAGCTGAGAATACTTTTGCACAATGACTCTAGTTTCAAGATACAATTTGAGGGAAGAGTTCAGGAGCATCTAATAATCTAAGATGTTTGTGTGACTGCTGGGAAAATGTTAGGTTGCCTTGTGAAGGATGCATGACTTGGGGCTTTCTTGAAGAAGCCAACACCCATGGATGGGTAGATGTGCCCTGATGGTTATTCTCCCACCCCTTCTTTTGGAGAAGAAACCTCATGTCCTCTTTTAAAGCCGTGTAGCATTAGACATGATCAGGAACATGACACTGGCATAGGCAGACACGTTCTCCAGACTATAATAGAATGGCCTAGTTTTGCATTCAAGTGCAGGAAAATAAACCTTGACGAAATTCTTGAAGGTCAATACCTGGTGGTACTTTTTCCACGTGTTTTTAATTTTCGCAAGGATGGGAAAGCTCATGCTTTGATTTGAGTAGTGGAGGGAAAAGAATTTTTTCCCCTGTGGGGTAAACAACATAGTCTTATTTGTACTTTCTCATCTATGGGGTTTTTATTGGTTTGGTGTCAAACTAAAGAAAATTACTAAATACAATTTTAGGGTTCCATAATTGTCATATAGATAGATAGATAGGTAATATATATATGAAAAAAGGATGTCAAGGTTTGTTGCAATACGTTTAATGAGATAATAACTGCAAAAAGTGTCCTGAAGGATGTTTTTCTTTATTCTAGTAAGCGCTATGATTTTTTTCTTTCCTTTTCCAAGATGGATATTCTTAATAAATAAATCTTTCAGAATGTGGGAACTATATATTAAGAATATCATATATAAGAACATAAGAATTAAATATTCAGTTTTCTAAGGGAAAAGGTAGGGTTCTTTTAATGAATTGATCAACTCATTACTGTCCTGCTGTCTCAAATCAACAAAACTGGAGATCAATATATGAAAACTAACCATTTTGGTGACTGTAGCTTGGTGTGATGGCAAGTTCTTATGGAACCCTTTGGCTGGTGACTTTTTAAGGGTTTCTTGGTGGTTGGCTGGCTTCTTTTTCTTTTTAACTTAATCTTGTTGCTCTTCTGCCTTCCGTTGCTTTTTATGTGCTTATAGTAGTTTACGGCAGTCAAAATATCTGATTAAGTGCAGCTGACTTCTGTTAGATGGAGTCTTGTAAAACTAGACATTAAGTTTTACTGTAACACAAAGCTGAGTTGAAAGAAAGGCTTTTTGGTATTCATAAAAATACAGTCATGTAACAGGTTAATAATAATAATTATAGTCTTTATTAGTAGCTGTGTTTCAGTTGTCTTAAATCATGTGATGTGAAGTTGAGGTGCTGTTATTAACTGTGAACCTGAGCCTGGGTATGTTTTTCTTCTAAAGGCAGTGCCTTGGGGATGGGGAGTATGGGTAAAGGAACTAGCTGGACTGACTATGCAGGTTGTTAGGTGTCTGTCCCGTCCCACATGCTGCTGGACTGGTCTGTGCTGCTGCGTGACGTTCAGCTGCTTCCACAAAATCACAAGGATAAAAAGGCGCTTTTGGCCGACACTGTTGAGCAGATATTCATTTTGCTACTAGTTATCACCAGGTATTTTCCTCCAACCAGACACATGCTGGCTGTATCCTAACTGCAGCTGGCAGGAAGGAGCAGGTTTCTGGAAAACTGCTGCGCTTGCAAGTCCCTGCCAGCCACGCTTGAGGATGGGTGAGGCAGTCTGGGTGGTTCACAGCCTGCTTGAACGGTCACAGCGCGCTCAAGTGCTGCTTCCCAGCCTGTCTTAACCAACTGATCAACCAACTGATTTTAGGAGAAGCCCTGGGCTGTTTCCTACACAGCTATCACAGTGACATTTTCAATCTAAACTTTGAATTTTCTTGCTTGTTTGGTAGAAAAATGTTTCCCTTGGTTTTGTGGATCACTTCTGACCACCACGGACCAAAGGTTGAGTAGTACTTCAGTAGAGGAGTTGAGTTGTACAGTGCACCAAGCAGAACAGGGTTGGATGCATCTTCTGGAGAACAACAGGAAGCGCTGGGAGAAACTGGGGAGATCCAGTGTTCTCGGAAAGGGGAGGCTATTCTAACAATGCTGTCCTCTCATATACAAGTACTGTCTGACTGTTGTTTTCTTCAAGGTTTTGCAGCTCTGCAGCATCATACTCCCCCAGCATAGGCAGGAGATCTGAGATGCTCTTTTCACAAGTTTTGTTGTCTTGCAAAACTACGTCTCCCAGCAGGCACGGGGATAACTGGATTACCTAATCATGAGATCACTTCCCTTATAGCTTATCAGCCCTGCACAAAACACTTTATGGTGAGAAGGGTGGTTAGAGAGCTACACCAAGCAATAGAAAAATAACTCTGCATACTATGGCTGTCAGTGGAGCAAATGAAGGTATGATTCAATGGGTTTGAAATGACTGTATTTATTAGAGAGGTAAAGCTGCTAGAACTCAGCCGTTAAGGCATATGTGGAGCCTTTTCCACACTGTGTGTCTGCTTTCATGAAGGTCATATTAAAGGCAGGAGACTTTGCAACATGAGTCCATGTGGAAAAATGGTAGAATTTTGCTAGGAACCTGTAGGAAATCATATTCTATTCCAGTTTAGATTTGACTTTAATATTTATACAAAGACAGTGTAGAAACGAGGTAATTTATAGTACTTTTTTACATGAGATTGAAGCATAGTTGGTGATTGTTTAGGGACAAGCAGCAGGACTCCAACATTAAATGTCTGGTTTTGTGTTGAGGTGGGGTCTTGATGCTGGTCTGTGGGACTTGAGGTGGTGTTTTCCATGAAGGTGGTAACAACTGTTTGTGTTGCAGAAAACAAATAGCAAAATCTTATTCCTCAGTGGCGGCAAGAAGTGGGGTTGCACAAAGATGCAAGATGCTGTACTGTCATGTGTCAGAGCAGGACTTGAACAGCAGTAGGTCCCTGTCCGGTTTATCTTGAAAATGAAATGCTTATAATGGACTGCAGAGGTGTGCTGTCAGAAATATTATCTCTACAAGGGCAGGCATTGGTAACCTGGCAGTTGCATGTTAACTTGGAGGTAAAGTTTGGAAGAAAAATGCTTTTATTCTGAGATGGTACGTACTGCCTTGTCTGGAATGGGAACGGTCAGCGTAGGAGGCAACGGTCAGGGTAGCAGAGTGAGTGTTACAAAGATCAAGGGAGATATAAAGTAAGCTAAGAGCAAGACAATGAGTAGGAATATGTGTGCATAGGTTAAGGGTGGGGCTGGATCTGTGGTGGAAGGCATCATGAGAGAGGTTAGGTGAGCACCTATGGCCTGAGCCAATGCTGCCCTGCAGCGGGTGGGAGGGAAGCTGCCTCCTGCTCTGCAAGGGAGCAGCCAGCATGCAGGCACTGACCTGACACGCAGCCGGTTTGGGACTTGATTAACCTGGGAGATGGCTCTTTCACTACCCCCTTGGAGAGAAAGACGGTTGGAAAGGGGAAACAAGACTTCGCCCTGCTGTTGTTTGTTTGGTTTTTCCCAGTGGAATGGTCTTGGGTTTTCTATTCTTTTTTCGTAATGCGTAAGTCTATTGAGCTCGTGCATTAAGCATTTAATTCTGTAGTGAATCGGGAATGACTCACAACAAAACACACCTTGCAACTTGGAAACGATGGAAATGCTAACTAAGGAAAACTCAAGAGAAAATAAAGTTTATTGAGGTAAGCTCAGGTAGGATGTTTGGATTTCTCATAATAATGTGTAAATTTAAAAATATTTACTCTGTATTTTGTAGTGCAGGATGTCTCTGAAAGTGACTGCAGGCACTGGAGCATTTCACCACAGAGATTAGAAACAAAGGCAATAATACTTTTGTGCTTGGTCATGAAATTAATTACTAAGGCCATAAGATGAAAATTTATTAATATAATCCCATTCCCAGGTTTTAGAGCAGAGATGGAGCTAGAACCTGTCAGTGCTAGGAGTGCTTTACTTGAGGGAGCATCAGCAAAGTGCAAAAATGGCTGGAGCGCTTGGGGACAGGCATAATAGTACAAAGCCACCTTCTGTAATTAAATATGAAAAAAGTATGCTGAAGAACGCTGCTTCTTAATTACCAGAATCATCATGATGATGATTTGAATCCAGTGACTCAGCTGAAGAAAGGATTGCAGAAGGTTGCCCAGCTGTTACTGTAGACCACCCTGTACTTTGAAGAATGAGAAGGTGCAACATGAGTTTTGGTTTGGAGTTTTGTTTTTTTGTTGTTGTTTGGGGTTTTTTTGCTTAAGTTTCCAATCGTAAGTATTCTCCAGCTTAGGGGAAGTAAGTTAGCTAGTAAGTTGCCTTGTTAGCAACCAGCTGGCTGCTCAGGCCGATAAAGCTGCATAGGATAGCTATGTGCCAGCATAGCTGTCTGTGCCAGGGATCCCTCTTGAGAGCCATGCTGGCTGAAGCCTGTGTAGAGACAGCCTGAGAGGGTTGTCCAGCTGCTTTGTCTGCTCTGTCTCTTTTCAGGGAGGGCGTGCTGTCTCCTGCTGCAAAGTGTGGGCAGCTGGTTACAATCTGAGTTTGTTTCAGTGCAGGAAGAGATCGGACTTCAACACCTCTGTGAATGGGAAAGAGGTAGAACCAAGGGATGAAGTGGGGTCAGGTGATTAAACAGAACTGACTCATGTGTCCAGGATCTGGGCAGGGCAGTTTTGGCCTAAGTGCCTTCCCAAAGAAAAGAGCTCTAGATGATCAGGTTGCTTATGTGCCTGTGGTTTTTGTCTCCCAAGCTATTAAAACTTGTGAGCGTCATAGCTGATTTCAGTTGGATTTCATAGAGGAGCAGAGATCTTGAAGACACTGGGTCCCTCATGGCTTCAAGAAAGTGTATCGTGGTAGGAAAAAGTGACTACAGGAATGTCCTTGTTAAGAAAGAGGCTGTAGTGTGAGCTTCTGTTATTAGGTAAAAGCAAAACTCTCCATGCGGTTACAGGAGAACCACCATTAAGAGGACCCCATCTGAGTCTGAAGCTTTAAACATGCAGAAGGGTAGCCAGTGTCTCTTGCACTGCATATTCACAGACATAATTTTTATTCTTGATATTGTCATACACTTACTTTTTAAGCCGTAATAGCAGGTTGTTTGTAAAAATGATGTGCCAGGTGTTTAGATCTTTAAAATGGGAAGTGTGTGCTCCTTCGCCAGTGAAATTCCTCTTGACAGTGGCTATAAACCTGTTGTTAGAAACAAGGCAGCCCAGCAGACAAAGATTTTTCCGCTTTAAGCTCTACATTTTGTTGCTACAATAGTCTTGCAATTTACTCACCCCAATCATAACATAAGAAGCAAATTCCTTCTCAAATCATCTTTTTTTTTTTTTTTTAAATCTAATAGGCTGCCAGGGAGTAAAAAGAACTTAGTCCACTAGTCAGAGACTGATGCTGGAGACAAGAGCACTGCACAGGATGGGATCAGGATGTGTTTTCTGCATTTCACTGAGTCTCTGGTCCTTTTTCCAAACTTCTGTTGTGCTCTGCTTTTCCAAGTGACATAACAACTAAAACACTCGTGTTTGCTTTCCTGCCATCCAGGTAGTTTGGAAAAGTTGCTTGGTCATGTTGTTTGCCCAGATGCTCATGATATACAATTACATCTTCCCTTTTTAGCTGGCTAGAAGTCCAGTTCTTTGGAAGTGAGACTAGCTTGTCTGGGCAAGCACCTCCAGCCAGGCTAGATGCTGCACAGTCAAGCTGTAGGTGCTGGAAATGATTGGTTGGCTTCTCCTGGTTTATAACCAAGTCTAGAGAGTGGAAATGTCTAAAGCTGTTTCTTTTATCTGTCATTTTGATGCTTTTTCATGAAAGGCTGCAAGATCGTTAAGCAGAAGGAAACGGAGTACCCCATTTTAAACCCTCTGGTGACAGAAGGTGTCCCACTTCCAGGCTTTGTTGCCATCTCCTGACCCAGGAGGGGGCAGCAGCAGCCCAGGCTGCAATATCTTCTAGCCTTTCCAAAGCTTGCTTTCCTTTCACAATGGGAGTTTGAGCCTGCAAAAAACTTGGAAAGAAACACAGTGTATGCAGTAGCAAATGAAAGGCAAATACTGGTTGGACAGGACAGTGATACTCTCCTTGCTCGCAAAAATGCGTGCTCTCACCATGAAAGTGGAGTGCGAAACTGATTCCTAGGAGGTGGTGTTAGGATATGGGATTTCTTGTAATAATTTTGGAAATAATTTTGGACTTTTGTTAACATTTATCACTGTGTTAAGGTGTTTGCTGCACCAGAAAATACTGTTCTGTTGCCTTGATTGCTTTGAAAGCACTTTGACACTGCTGTATGGATTGTAGGAACCCTTTCTTAACACTGTAATAAACTAGTGGTGAATGCACAGGCTGGCAGGACAATCTTTGTAATAGCTGGCTTTGATGCTGTAGTTTTTTATCATGTATTTCAGAGAGAGCTCACATGTTGCTTCACTTGAAAAATATTTCAGAATAAAGAAGAGTAATTCACGGCATCTTGCTGACATACTGACTGGCTTTCTAAACCTTGTGTACATGGGAAAATAAATATAAAAAGCGGTCTCTCTTACCTGGGAAAGTTTTCCTTCCTTTGGCATTCAAGGTGTGGACTCTCTGTTCTTCCTCTTCATTGTCATTTTAGTCTGATGCTTGGGACTGAGCATCTTTTTACCCACAGCATCACCTTTTTAGGTCATAATTTCTCCCTGTGTTTGAGTCTGTGTCCTTTAGACCAGCTTGACAGATAGCTTGTTCTTGTATTAGGTGATGCCACTGGGTGTGGAAAACAGCCCTCTTCAACTTCCACCCCACCACATGAGTGGGAGGAGGAGGACATGCTCTAAGTATACTTCAGTCATACTTGTCTGCGTAGCATAGCTAACCTAGCATAGTGAGCACCTCATTTCCATTGGTATTGGTCTTTCCTGGGGTTGTGTGGATACTATATTGCTTTTCCTGCTTACACCTTGGGAACGGGCCTGCATTGCTGTTCACATGGCTTTGAATGGTCTGTCTCCATTTTTTTGATTTATTTTTTTTAGGGCGCACCCTCTGAAATCACAACAAAATGAAAACCTGATTTTTGTCATAGCTCTTCTGAAATGGTTCTTTAAAGAAGTTTTAACTTTGTGAAACAGATTTTAGTAAATGGAGTGACAAAGGAAAGTAGCTTTCTCTTCCATTTGCGCTTTAACTTGCAGGCTTCCTAGACTTTTAAATACATTTTGCTTAGCCTTAGTCCAGAGCCTAAGGAGAACAACTTCTGAACGATCCCTGTCTCTTTGTACAAGTGCAGGTCATTGTTAACCTCTTCAAAAAAAATTACAGCCAAACTTTTATCTTGAATATGTATGCAGCCTGATTTGCTTCTATCCTCTGAAGCAAGGACTCATTTCCTTGGTCTCTGAAACAAACAGGAACAGTACGTACTGAGTGCTTGAGAAAAATCAGGCCAGAGCATTAGAGATTTAATTATCATTCAGTTATAGTTCTTTATGCTGAGAGTTCAGTCTTCTTCCTTGTGTGTGGATGGGAGGGGACTTTCTCTTCAGGTCAAGTTACAGAGAAGAAGTCAGAAGTGGAGCACCTGGAAGAGTGGTCTATGTAAGGCCAAGAGCAGGTTTGAAAACAGACCTACTTTCTGTGACTATGTTGTTCCCCATCTCCCCTTGCACCTTGGAGCTGACACGGCTCTAAAGCAAAGTGTTGCTGCTGCATTAGTCCATTTGGGAAGTGTTTTGTGTTCACCTTCACCCAGATGTAAGCAGTTCACCAGCAAGCTGCAGAGCACAGATCCCTGAGTTTTCTTTCTTAGTTCTTTCTTCTTCCTTCACAGAGACTCCCCAGCTGAATCCTGTGATGGAGCCCTTGTCCTGGATGCTGGGCACCTGGCTCTCAGACCCGCCAGGAGATGGCAGCTTCCCTACAATGAAGCCCTTTCAGTACCTGGAAGAAGTGCACATCTCTCATGTGGGGCAGCCCATGCTCAATTTCTCGTAAGTCTAGGGATTTATCTGTGTTGGCAGCAGCTTTTGGATTGGAGGAGGCATGGCTCCAGTGAGATTTGTTGCTTATGTTTCTTTTCCAGTGTCAAAGTAAACAAGATGAATTAATGATATGTGACTGCATGGTCTGACTTTGATTTTCCTTTAGAACTTGTGATTAATTAGCATGATGTTGTAACATTCCCAGAGGTGCATACCTGCAATCACTGAAGATTCACTAGCCCAAGAGTAAAGTGCATTTCTACAGAGCCTTTCAAAAGTGAGTTCACACCTGTGGACTTGTGCAGAAGCACACATGTACAGGATCAGGCCTGCGGCCATGGTGCAGTGTAGAGTTCTTGTGGCCTTGCTGTCCTGAGGGTTACAGAGCTGGAAGTAACTCAAGGTGCTGCAAATGTGAATGTAATTTAGAATAGTGAGAGTAACTTAGGGTACCAAGAATGGCCCCAGCATGGACACCCCTATTGTCTGTGCAAATATTAGCCTTTGGAGGACCAGTGATCATTCCACTTTAATGTGATGTGCACTGGTTGTGTATGTTAGCTGAAAGATACACTGTCCTAATGGCCAGAAAAAAACCCCACGCAATTCTTCTTGCTGACAGTAGCTGTCTAATTAGAAATGAGTCTTGAGGTAATCATGTCACAACTGCTATCGTTCTGCTTTGTGAAACTCCCACTTACAGATATAATAAATGAGGGAACTGTGGCATGGCTGCCAAGTTTGTCCATTTTAAAATTGTGGTCTTCAGCCTTCATAACTGTAAAAATCTGAGAAAAAATTGAAGTGTTTAACAAACTACATGGGATAGGAGGCACATTTCTTCACTGCTTTGGCTGCAAGTAATTGTTCTAAGAGAAATCCAAAAGAAATCTGGAGGAAGAGAAGTGACATGCTAGCTAACTGTTCAGTGCTGCTCCAGTATTCATTTGGGAGGGGTGAGTTGCAAAGTTTGTTGCCTTGAAAACCAGCAAAAAGAATGCCAATGCTGTGCGAAAGATGCCCTGTGTTCCTGGTGTGTGCTTGTAGTGGTTTGACCCTGGCCGGCAGCCAGGTACCCACACAGCTGCTCTCTCACTCCCCCTTCTCCACTATACCGGGGGAGAAAATATTTCAAAGGGCTTAAGGTTTGAGATAAGGACAGGGAGATCAGTTTCATTTACTGTCCTGGGCAAAACAGACTCGATTTTTGGGGAAATTAATTACATTTATTTAGAGAACAAATCAGAGAGGAGTAGTGAGAAGTAAGAAAAAAAACCCCAAACAGATCTTAAAAACAGAACACCTTCCCTCCCATCCCTCCCTTCTTCCCAGGCTTAACATCAATCCTGATTTCTCTACCTCCCCACCCTGAGCGGCGCAGGGGGACAGGGAATG